CGCCGGTGTTTGGGGGCCCAAATGAGCCCTCATAGGAGCCAGGTCCGGATTTGCCTCCGTTGTTTTGATCCCGGTGGCTTTTCCCGACGCTTCACTCGTCTCCTCCATCCTGTTTCTCCCTCCTCAAGAGACTTCTCCTGCCGGATGCTTCGGAGCCCACCGGGTTTTCGCGGGGCGCAGCGCAGGCTGCTGCTGTTCTCTCCATCACAGGCCAGGCAGGCTGAGCCTCTGCACAACTCACCACACGAATGAGGCCGGAGCTGCATGGCCCCCGCGGCGCCGCGTGGAGCCCACCCGTCTCCAGCATCGTCCCCAGCAGAGATGCCCCCCGGGGCAAACACCGGGGGGGTTTTGCCCCCGTTGCCCCCACCCCGTCACGGGCAGCCGCCCGGCTCGGACGAGTCTCCAGCGTCACAATTAAGAGATAAACAGGAAAGAGAAAAGGGGGCAGATTTCGTAGTCAGCCCCAACCCTCTGGAGAGAGATAAAAGAAGAGGATGGGGTGGTGGTGGTGGGGGGGTTTAATATATCTTCCCCACTTGTTTCTGCTGAATTGAACATTTTTCCTCCTGCTTAGAAGATCTCCCGCCCTCCCCGGCCCCCTCCCGCGCTTCCCGTTAATGAGGTTTCGCTGCAAAAGTCTCCGTGCCTCCGTCTTGGCCTTGAGTTAATCTCCAGATACCTTCAAAGCAGTTTTGTTCCCGAGCTGCTTCCTCCCCACCCCAACCCTCCCTGCCTGCTTCTTTTTGAACTTCCAAGGCACAATTTTCCAAGTTTTCCAGCGCTGCCACTGCTTCCCGCTACAGCATCCTGGCCCTGGCGTAGGAACCCGCAGGGATGCAGGAGCTCCTGGACTAGTTGGTCCCATGGGCAGCTGAGACCGAGGAGCTGGGGCACATGGGTGTCCCCTGTGCCAGGGCCGATTGGTCCCAGAAAACTGGAAATTTGGGAATTTATTATTATTATTATTTTGCAAAACTGGAGTATAGTAGAAATGTTGCACTGTCTGGAAAAGGCTCCCAGTGACCCCAGGACCTCAGACAAGGCCTCAGTGTCACCCCTGACCAGGGCGGATCCGGAGGAAGCTCTGAATTCCTTCCCATTGGAGCCGTGATGGGGCTGGAGCAGACGGTGCTGCACAGGGAAGAGAAGCTGCTCTGAATCCGGTGAACAGGTTTTGCCAGGTGCATTCGGGCTGAGCATCGACCAGGTTGTGACATCCCAGGGGTCACTGCGGAGCTCAGGCTTGCGGATGCTCCCTGCTTTTTGCCCCCTCTTTCCCCTTCCAGGTCCAGCTAATTAAATGCTAAATTGGGAACCTCTTTCTCCAGAGGAGGCGAGTGGATCCCGGCCCCACGGATGCTCCAGGATGGGTTTGCAGCTTTCTCCGCTCCGGAGAGAGCTCCGGGCGCTGCCGGGGCCGCCGGGTCACGCTGCCGTAATGTGCTCAGAGCTGCCTGCTATGTTGGTACCTGCGTGTCCTGCTCCAGAGCCGATCTGGGGGCTTTAATTCCAGTTAATCCCTGCAATCTCTTAATTCCAGGGCGCGAAATAGCAAAGATCACTGGGTCAGTGGGAAAAGCTCTTGGCCGAAGTTAACGCGTTAATGCGGAGAGAGGGAGAGAGCGGGAGATGGGCAGGGAGGAAGGCAAAGCTCCCGGCGCCGAGGGATCCACTTCGGCTTATCCTATTTTTAGGCTCTTTGAGGAGCCTCTGTTCCCATGGGGAGAGCCCAAACTGAGCCCAGGGGGCATCCAGGAGTTCACCCATCTATCCCATGGATCCGATGGATATCCCGGGACATGTGTCGCCTGGCTCCCAGCAGTCAGCACTCTGGCTGGAGCAATTTCGGGAGCGATTTTGTGGTGATTCCACCTGCGGCACCAGTCCCAGCCACGCTGGGGAACCTCGGCAGCTCCCAGCCTTTTCCAGGGTGCTCCCTGCGGGCAGGGCCGGCAGCTCCGGGAGGGCAGAGCTGCTTTTCCTGCTGGCACGGAGGCGCCGGGCGCTCCCTCGCACCGCGGCCACTCACTGGGGTCCGAATGGCAGCGCCGGGGGCAGCGCTGGCCCCCGCGCCGCTGAGCGCCTCTAATTAGGGCTTGGCAGCCTCCGGCCTCATCCCCGTAAGCACCTTTTTGGCTGCTGCCCTGGAAAGAAAGCTGCACTCGGGGACTTAGCTTTTTATATAGCCCAAGCCCAGGCTGGCTCTGCGGGAGCCCCTGATCGCCCGATTCCCGTTGCAGCCCTCGCACCGGAGCCTCTGCCGCTGCTCCCGGAGCCGCA